ATGCAATGTTAGAATTTATCTTGAGAGGACTTGAATATAAAAGCAGGGATGTACTTCTGAGGCTCTGTAAGTCTCTGGTCAGGCCACACTTGGAGTATTGTGCACAGTTTTGGACACTATATCTCAGAAAGGATGTACTGGCCCTGGAACGGGTTCAGAGGAGGTTCACGAGAATGGTCCCAGGAATGAAAAGCTTAACATACGAGGAACGTTTGGGGACTCTGGGTCTATACTTGATGGAGTTTAGAAGGATGAGGGGGGATCTAATTGAAACTTACAGAATACTGGATAGCCTGGCCAGAGTGGATGTTGGAAAGATGTTTCCATTGGTAAGAGAGACAAGGACATGAGGGCATAGCCATAGAGTAAAGGGAAGACCTTTTAGAATGGACTTAAGGAGGAACCTCTTCAGCCAGAGAGTGGCTCCTCAGGCTGTGGAGGCCAGGTCATTGAGTATATTTATGACAGAGATAGACAGGTTCTTGATTGTCAAGGGGATCAAGAGTTATGGGGAGAAAGCGGGAGAATGGAGTTGAGAAACTTTTCGGCCATGATTGAATGGTGGAGCAGACTTGGTGGGCTGAGTGGTCTGATTTCTGTTCCTATGCCTTATGATCTTTGATGAGGTCATAGAGTTGGCAGAAGAGGTCATGGAAGACTTTGAAAAAAAATCAGAACTTAAAAGTTGCTGGACCAAGAGCCTGTATCATTTGACAAAATCAACACAAAGTCCCGGCGATTTAACGCTGACATCAAATTGCTCACACCCCTTGCATTAGACTTGTAAGCATCAGTACTTTCCACTGTTTATAAGTGCCCTTGGAGTGAAAACTCTACAGACTAATTACACTAACAAAATTGTAAAAGACAATTCAATTTTGGCATGTGCTAACAGAATTAAAGTTAGAGCAATACAGCATGGAAACAGGCCCTTCGGCCCAACTCATTCATGCCGACCAGGTTTCCTAAACTGAATTCATCCTATTAGCATTGAATTATGATGGTCTGTAATGTAGTTCCCTCTCTCTGACTTCCCCACCGCCTTTGAGTCGGTTCACTGTCCTTACAGCAAATGTTCCCAAGTTGTCTTTACTCATTTGGGATGTGGGCATCACTGGCTAGGCTAGCATTTATTGCCCATCCTACAAAAATTCTGCTTCATTTCTGATTTCACTGAATTTATTTCCTAGTGTCTGTTACAGATTTAAAATAGAGCACTTTTTCTTTTAAAGAATTTTTTAAGCATCCAGACCATTTATGAGACAAAACTCTGAAGAAAGGTTCAGACCCAAAACGTCAACTTTCCTGCTTCTCTGGTGCTGCCTGGCCTGCTGTGTTCCTCCAGCTCCATATGGAGTTATGTTATCTGTGAATTTTGTATGGGCTCTGTATGCCCATGAGGTCAGATTATAAATTTCTAAACCTCACCGGAGAGAGGATTTATACTTTCACACAGATTTTATTGAAGAGTGGGTATTAGCCAGTTTGGCATCGTGGGTGACAGTACATTCACCTCTAAATTAGGAAGCGAGAGTTTCAGCTTCATTTTGGGACTGGAGCACTTGACATGACTCACCTTCCAATAGAGTACTCGGGGTGTCCTGCATTGTCAGATGTTAGCTTTCAACTGAGGGATTACTTCAGACCCATGAATTTAAAAGCCCTGCGGTTTGTTGTTTTTAATTCATTCATGGGATGAGAGCATTGCTGGCTAGGCTAGCATTTATTGCCTATCTATAATTGCCCAGAGGGCAGTTAAGAGTCAACCACATTGCTGTGGGTCTGGAGTCATATGTAGGCCAGACCAAGTAAGGATGACAGTTTCCTTCCCTAGAGGACATTAATGAACCAGATGAGTTTTTCCAACAATCAACAATGGATTCACGGTCACCATTAAACTCGTAATTCCAGATTTTTATTGCATTCAAATTCCACCATCTGCCATGGCGGGTTCCCAGAACATTACCCGAGTTCCTGAATTAACAGTCCTGCCATAATACCACAGGACCATCACATCCCTTTGGTGTTTTGTCAAAGTAGAGCTGAGGTGATTCCCAGGGTCTTGTCCCAACTTTTATCAAAAGTGACCGGTTTTACCCTTGAACAGCACCAGTACTGTTTGTCAGACCTTGCTACGCGCATATGTTTTCCTGTATGAATGACAGCATTTCATATAATTTATGGACTGTGGACTTCTTTGGGTCCTCCTGCACATGTGATTGGTAGTGTGTTAATGCACATTTCTTCATCCTTGTTATTTATTTGTCATGTTTGTGAGCCTCGTGTTTATTTTATTCTTGACTCAGTTTGTCATTTTCTCTTACCCTAAATATGCTAACATGTTAGGATCCATAAAACCATTTGGTTGTTGATTCAGTGCAGATATTTTACAATGGGAACCATCATAAGTGGGTTGACTTCTGTCTGCCTGCCCTAAAGACCTGGCTAATAAGAACATAAGGACTAGGAGCAGTGTAAGCAATTCAGCCCTGGTTCCGCTATTTGATATGATCGTGGTTGATCTCATCTTGTCCTCAATTCCACTTTCTTGTCCCTTCTCCATTATCCTTCAACCCATTACTAATTAAAAATCTGTCTGTCTCCTCCTCAAATTTATGCAATATCCCAGCATCCACTGTACTGTTGAGTAGCGAAATCCACAGATTCACGACCCTTTGAGAGAAATAATTTCTCCCCGTTTCTGTTTTAAATCTGCTAGCCCTTATCCTAAAACTATGATCTCTCATTCTAGATTGCCCCACATGAGAAAATGGCTATTCTGCGTCCACTTCGTCAATCACCTTTAGCATCTCATGCACCTCAATTCGGTCTCCTTTTGTTCTTGTGAACACCAGAGAGTAAAGGCCTAAACTGCTCAATCTGTCTTCATAAGACAAACCCTCATTTCTGGAATCAATCTAGTGATCATGCTCTGAACTCTCCAATGTAACTGCATTCCTCCTCAAGGGGACGAAAATTGTATACAAAATTCCAGTTGCAATCTCATTAATGTCTTGTACAGTTCTAGCAACACTTCCCTATTTTTATACTTTCTTCCTTTAGCAATAAATACCAAAATTCCATTTGCCTTCTTTATTACTTGCTGTACCTGCGTACTAGTTTTCTGCAATTCCTGCATGAGGGCACCCTCTGGACTGAAGCACTCTGAGGTTCCCTGGTTAGTCACACCGTTCTGTAAATAACTGAATCTTTACAGAGGCCTGGCTGGTTAAAGAGGAGAAGTTCAAAAAATTTGGAACTTGAAGCTCAGAACACAATCAATGTGATGGGAGGGGAAGTGTTTTGTCGGGTGGCTTGCATTTGGTATTTGGAAGTGCAGTGAGTTCACAGGATCCAAACAAGATGTCCTCCCACTCATCCATGCAAACATCTCTGCTCCGAACCGAGGGAAGCCCAGCACTCAGACACACTGTGAGTTTATTAAAAAAGCAAACCGATGCGTAAGTTCAGATGTTTTTGTTTTTGACTGACTCCTGATGTTGGTCCTTTGTGCCAGTTCAATTCATGTATTCAGTGTGTCACTGTCCAGCAGATTCTCGAAATGCTGGTAAAGTTTTTTTAATAGTTGCTGCAGTGCACGGTTAGGAGCATGTGCTGAACTGTCGTGGTATTTATAGTGGAACTGGAAGGTTGATGAATCTTCAGTAAAAGCTTAATAGAAAATCATTCCACATACAGTCACTTGTTATAAATACAAGTTGGGTGTATTTGTAACTTATTTTAGCAGCAGGCTTGTTGATCCCGTCCTACCCCACAACATTGCTGCTCGCTCACATTCATCCTGACAGCTTTAGTTTTAAGGTGGGTTTTGTGATAAGGCTTTCCTTTCTTGTCCGTGTTTGTGCACTTGTTGGCCTTGTAATTTTGCTATTCACAGACTGTTTAAGGTAACTTTTTGTTTGTACAGCTCCTATGTGCATGTGGTTAAAGAATTTGTTGTGCATTTCCAAGAGTTAGGAAGTTTCCAATCTGAAATTTAATTGTTTCAGGACAGTCTGAGTGAACCCTTCTTAATTTTTTGTTAAATTCACATGGAGAGTTTGGTCTGGAATGTCAAAGAAGAGTGATTCATAAATATATTTAAAATACATGTAAAGTAAAATGATAAATATATGCCATTTTTATAGAATATCCATTTGAACTGAGGAAGCACCCTAGCAACCGAATGTAGCTTGCATCCTAGCAAACAGGTTGAACTGGGTAGTGTGTTATGTCTGGTTATCTAGTGGCTATTAATCTGATGCCCTGGTAGGAGCCAGATCCATTGGTTTCAGAGTTGCACACACACTGGATCACGTGCTGTACTGCACATGATTTCTGAAATGAGCCTTGGCATGAAATCGGCCTGTTGACAATACTCAGATGTGATTGAGTCAGATGGTCTTTGATCTATGAATGATGGCTTTGCATTAGGTTGTTTTTCATAAAGTTGGCCTGAAGTCAGTTTAAACAAGAAGAAAGACCAGTTGGTAAGTTTGTCTGTAATTGGCTATAAAGTCAGTTTCTTGATAACCGGATTTCTCCTTTGTTGACTGCAACTAAAGGTAAAAAGGTAAAATTACTATAATCTTACCTGTCTATGGGGTTGCTCTCTCATTAAAGAGTGATGAAAGGTGGCTAAACTGAGGGTCACCATGCCCATGAGGGGAGGGGTTGAGAAGGAGAGTTCATCATGGTAACCTCAGCCGGTGCGGGAATTAAATGCACACTGTTTGCGTTACTGTGCATCACAAACTAGCCATCCAGCCAACTGAGCTAACTGACTCCTTTGCACTTAAGTAATGACAATTAAATCAATGGATTTGAGGGGACAGGGAAACGTCCTAACTTTGATGGGCAGAATGGCCTTGTCTCACCTCAGACTTTGCTTTAAAAAGCTCTTGCATAACTGAGATGGAATAACCTATTTTTCAGGAAATGAACCCCTTTACTAGATTTGCATTCACTTATAACCTTTGTCTCTTTCTGCTCTGTTGCAGGTCGTTAAGGTAAAGCCAAATGATAAAGATGCTAAAATGAAATACCAAGAATGTAATAAAATTGTCAAACAGAAAGCGTTTGAACGTGCAATAGCAAACGATGAACTGAAGAGATCAGTGGTGGACTCTTTAGACATAGAGAGTATGAGTAAGTATTTTAGACAGTTCGTTTTAAGAATGGAGACTTCGTGTTTCACACTGGACCTATGTTTGGATCAAGCTCCGACTCCATTTTCTCTGTTGTTCCTAGAACCGTTCAGCCCAGAAAGAGGCCATTTGGCCTATAGTGCCCCTGTCAGCCTATCGAAAGAGCTCTCCAATTTGTCCCCCCTCACCTGTACCCAATTCCTTTTTGAAACTTCTTTTTGAATCTGCTTTCATGTCCCTTCAGGCAGTGCATTTCGGATCAGAGCAACTTTTTGTATTAAGAAAGTTCTCATTTTGCCACTGGTTCTTTTGGCGCTTTTCCTAAATATGCTGAGTCTTGCTGTTGTATAGGTTCTGGGAATCCTGAAGTAACACACCTGAGTTATTGATACTCTTTCTTTTTTTAGAGCGCAAATGCTGCTTGGAGATTTGCCCACAGAAAGCATCATGTGAACTTTGGCTAACTTCCTTCCCCTCCTTTTCCCAACAACATTCTGCAGCTGTGCTCAGCTGAGCTGAGTCTGTTGAAGTCAAGGCTTGGACCTTGAATTTTGTAATCTGCATGTCTCAATGGTGCATATCCACGGAGTCATTCCAGGAGTCTGGGAAGTCGTGGAACAGTATGTGAATGAGTGGTGGACTTGATAGGAGCTGAGTGTGACTCCTGTATATGTGTAACAAAGAGTGGACTGGCTGTCTAACCTTTGAAGAGCCTATCTATGTGAAAGTGCTGAGTAGCATGCTAATAGCCCAGGAGGTCCAAAATTATCAAAGCTGCAGGTGGGTGCCAAGAGAGGAAAGTTTTTACGATGTTCAGGTACCAAAGCTCGAAGCAAGGACACCAAAATACAAGTTTGTCCTGGTGGAAACACTGTTGTAATTGATAAGGTAGGGGTCCATGATTACAAATTCATTTGAAAAGCCTCCTTCCAATCACTTTTTTTTTATTCATTCATGGGATGAGGGCGTCACTGGCTAGGCAGCATTTATTGCCCATCCCTAATTGCCCAGAGGGCAGTTAAGAGTCAACCACATTACTGTGGGTGTGGAGTCATATGTAGGCCAGACCAGGTAAGGATGACCGTTTCCTTCCCTGAATGACATTAATCTACTGCATTGGTCATCAGGGAGCTGCTAATGGTCTCCCTCCTAATGCAGAGAGTGATGTGATCTGACAGAAGGCTTTTTCAGTGGCTTCCTCCTAATTCAGGGTTTCAGCTTCATGTTGTGTTTGTTGCTGCCAGGTGACTGGGTGACCAGAGTACGCTCTGGTCAGGTGAGTGGTTGCTACAGTTTGTGCCTTTTGGTTTTGCGATGAGGAAATCAGCTGGTGTTCCTGTTCTTGGTTGCTGCCCAGTGCTTTCTGCTTATACCCGTGGGCGTCCAAACCTGTGGGGGTTCTTGTGGTCCAGTTGTCCTTGCTGATTGTGTTGTTGTGAAGATTGGCCATGAATGAGAGACAATAAAGTGTACTCAACGTCTAAGGAGCCAGCAGATGTTTCCACCTTCAGGGGCCCGAGCAAGTGGCCAGAGTGACAGGAATACAAATTCCTATCTAAATTCAGTGCAAGTTTTTTTCTTACTGTCTGTGGGCTTGATATAAAAGCTCATTTACAGTAAGAATGGATTGGCAGCAGTGTTATAGTATTTGAGGTATCTCCTTTTTTGTGTTCTCACTTCCATGAACTCTTGCTGTTCTTCCCTCATTTTCCTCCTCTCAGCTGGTGCCCCTGATGGCTGTTGTGAGTTGTTGGCATGCTATCAGAAGTTGTTGTGATGCTTGTGGTTTTAACTCATCTAAAAATAAATGAGGTTGGTGCACAGGGTAACCTTCAAGGTTGGGACAAGAAAGCTTCTGCCCAGCCAGGAGGCTGAATCTACACCGACCACTTTAAGCGTGCATTTGGAGGGATAGCTGCTGCAATAAATTCCCCTTTTCCCCTTAGAAATGGCATTTGCTATGTTTGAGATAAAAGTGTTATCTTTCTTGGCTTATTTGGTGTTGCTGAGTAGATGATGTGCAATACGATCTGCTGTCTCTGTCTTCCACCCTCAAAAGGTTTTTAAACATTTATTCATGCAAGGAATTGGGATGTCGCTAGCAAAGACAGCATTTATTGATTATTCCTGATTGCCCTTGACAAATGCTGGTGATGCAACTTCTTGAAGCAGTGACAGACTTGCTGGGCCATTTCAGAATGCAGTTAAAATTTTGTGTGCCTGGAATCTCATTTGGCTAGCCTAGGTAAGGGTAACAAGTTCCTCCTGGGCGTTACTGTACCACATGGATTTTTTACAACAATGTGGTAACTGTGGTTTTGTGGTCACCGTTATTTTTTACTGCTGATTTAAATGATTGACTCAGTTTAAATTATCCAACTACCGTGGTGAGGTTTGTATTTGGGTCTCTGGATTGCTAATCTATTAATGTGACCATTATGCTATTGTGCCTGTGCTGTCAGTCGCTTGAGGTAGGGGTGAGTGAAGGTGGCTTATGGCAACAGGCTCTTATTTGTTTATAATGTGATGAATGCTTGATTCTTTTCCATGCTCTCTCATCTCTCTCACTGCCACTTCTGCTAATCCCTTGCCTCCACTGCTGGTTCTGCTGGCACTGGTCCCCAGTCTCCACAGGTGATCCCCAGCAGTGGGTCAGGAAATGACCAGATGCAACAAATTCGTGACTCCTTCCTCTTCTGTACCCCACTTACCCATCGTAGTCATGCAGTCTGTTGAGTGACAAAAATGTGAAGAGAAACTTGAAATCATTAGGGATCTCCAGGTTACTTGTATCAAAAGTCCCCACTGCCTCTTACCTACCTTCAGTAACTTGAGGTGACTTCTGCTCTCGGGACTTTGTGACCCTTTTGGAAGTTTGAGGTAAATTCCTATTTACCAATCTACTGCATGTTTGATAACTTTTGTGAGAAAATAAATGCTTTGTGCCAGCAAAATTTGCCACCTCTGCCTTTTGTGCTTGTCCTCCCTCATTCTCCAATTCCTATTGATTCAATTCAAATTGTGAGGGAATCTGACCAACCCCTCTTGGCATTCAATTGCATTACCATCACTGAAGCCTCCATCGACATTCTTAGAATCACCCTTGACTGAAAACTGAGACACAAATAGCCTGACTGCAAGAGCAGGTCATAGGCTGGAATTGTGCAGAGGGTGATTCACTTCCTGACTTCCAAAGCTTTTCCAGCAATAATAAGGTACGAGTGAAGAATGAAACGGAATATAGTTCTCTCCAGTTGCTTAGATGACTGAAGCTTTGACAACACTCAAAGCTTGACATTCAAAACAAAGCTACCCACCCTCCAGCTTAAACATTCACTCCTTCTGAAACTGGAGCAACGTGGCAATCTGTAATATCTACAAGATGGACTGCAGCAGCATACCAAGGCTCCTTCAACAACACCTTCCAAATCTGTGACAGGACAAGGATAGCATTACCCATAGGAAACATCACCTGAAAGTTGCCCTCCCAAGCCACACACCACCATGACTTGGAACTATATCCCCTCCCAAGTCTCACACCTAGTTTGGAACTACGTTGCACTGTTCCTTCGCTATCATTGGGTCAAAATCCTGTAACTGCTGTCGTAATAGCACTGTGGGTATACCTGCATGACAAGACTGCAGTGGCTCACCACACCTTAAAAACAGTTACTTTAATATTCTCTCATGGGATGGAGGCATTGTTGGCCAGGTCAGCATTAATTGCCCATCCCTAGCTGGATGGGTAACAACTGCTGGCCTTTCCAGCAATGCCCAAATGGAGGAATAAAGAAGGGAAAATGTAACCCATATTTTGATGCTGCATATGTCACCATCTCTCAGTCTCCCGTCTTTCATTTTGTACTTAGCAATCGAAGATGATTATACTGGTCCGAAACTGGAAGATGGGAAAGTCACTTTAAAGTTCATGAAAGACCTAATGCAGTGGTTTAAAGATCAGAAGAAATTGCACAGGAAATGTGCTTATCAGGTAAGGAGCTGTTGCTTTCTCATATCACGGTAGGTAGCAGCGGACCCTGAGCACTTCATGGAAGACCAATATGTTTAGTCAACAGAGCAGCCTGTTCATCCATGGGTAAGGTACTCCTACTAATTCTCTTCCGCTTCCATTACTCATCCTTATCGCTTTGCTGTTTGTGACTACTGTTGATATTGCGTTTTGTACTCTCTAATTCTTGTTGTTAAACCACCTTGCAGTCTTTTTTGACCTTCCCCAGAGACTTGCCCATGCTGTTTGGGAAGCATTTTAGCATTGTGGCCAAATGCTCATGTTTCCTGGTTGGTGAGCATCCTTTAGCTTTGAATTGCTCGATGTTGTCATTCTTTGCTGGCTTTTCACATCAGGAAAGGTGATCTCAATTCCTTTAACAAAGATGGTAGTACAATTGAGAAGGTCTAACTATCTGAGAAGATTGAACAGCTTGGGGAAAGTGCTTAGAAAATTGAAGGCCGAGGAGCATCCTGGAAGGGAGTTTTAAAATTATTGTTCAAAATGATAGTTATGGGTAGGACCAAAGCCATAAATATAAGAATGTCACTGATAAGTTCAATAAAGATGTCAGGGGACGTTTCTTTATCTTGAAAGTGGTGCAAATGTGGAACTTGCTACCTCAAAGAAAAAGACAAAATTGAGGTCAGGCTTACATGTGACTCCAGACCCACAGCAGTGTGATGGATTCTTAACTGCTCTCTGGGCAATTAGGAATACACAATAAATGTTGAACTCGCCAGTAATGCCCACATCCTGTGAATGGATCTTTTAAAAAATAGAATGGACACACTCGAGGGGATTCTCTATAAATGCATGAGGGAGAAAGGATGAGATGGATAGAGATTGAGTTGGAAGAAGAGGGCTGAGAGGTGGTTCGTGAGGTGCATTAACACCTATGTTGACCTGTGGGCCGAAACCACTGATTTCTTTATTCTATCAAGGGCATTGCTGGCCAGGCCAGTATTTGTTGTCCATCCCTAAATACTCTTGAACTGAGTGATGTGCTAGGCCATCTCAGAGGACAGTTAAGTGTCAAGCACAGTGCTGTGGATATGGAGTCACACATAATCCAGACCAGGTAAGCAGAAATTTCCTTCTGTAAAGGATTTTTTAAAACCACAATCAATGAAGTTTTGTCGTCACTATTACTGGCACTAGCTTTCAGTTCCAGCTGTTCTTTTATGTGCTGCGTGCATACTCCATGTAACCTAAAATTACAACTTGTACCCACTGGAAACATCCGACAACATGGACGTTTTCAGAACTCGGCTGGAGATGATTCTGCTGTTGGGTCCTTTTCAAGACTTGCTGTAGCACAATGTAACCGGGAGATGTCAGGCTTGCAACGGCACAAGGTTGAAAATCTTCAATAGCGTGGCTTGCCAGAGCAGAAGCACAGAAACAACCAGCGCGCTCATTTTTTCTTATTTTTATGATGCACCAAATAAACTTACTAAATTGAAGGCACTGTGTCAAATACAAGTTGCCGTAGTCCAGTCTGTTTTATTGATTTGATTTGTAGCTCTCATATTGTGACCTTGAAACATTAGTTATCATTTATGGCAATGAAACTTTTATAAACGTGCTTATTAATATTGTATCTCAGTTCTTACTTTCCTCTCCCTCACGTATTTTATTTACCTTCCTTTCTTCCTCTTCCTTCTCACCTCCAAAATTTAAAAGTTCAACATATTGAACCACAATACCTGCTCCTTACCTGCCTTTCAGTGGCAAAAACTTTATTTTTCACGAGAGGCTTTTGCTGTCTTCAAATCTTCAATGTTTCCTTTTTGGAGCAACAATATTTAGAAGGTAAACGCCATTTGGCCATGTTGCTGGAAAGTTGCATTTAGATACCTGGTAAAACTTGCCAAGTACATTGGCAGTCTAACAAATTAAACTGGCCTACAAGAGAAGCTGTGGCTTGTGAGCAATTCAAGGCCTGCAGAGAAACAGGTACGTCCTTTTGTTCTGAAGTCAGTATGACAATATACATCAACCCTAATTTGTTCATTCTTTATCCCTCTCTCTTTTCTCAACCAAGGTCTAATCCTCAGGGTAGGGGAGTCCAAAACTAGAGGGCA